TTAAAAAAAAAAAAAAAAAGTTTGTTTCTTAAAGAAAAAACCCTCAACATTTTCTTTGAAAACTCAAAATGGTTCTGAGCTCTGTGTAAAAACAGACGAGATAAGATGATAGTCACTAGGAATCTCAGTTGTTAATACCAAATAAAAATGTGCACACTTATTTTAAGTTGTGTTGTTGTTAAAGAGAAAAACTGAAACACAACAGAGAAACTACAAAATTAGACACATGTTAGTTGATTGAAAATCCAGGGAGTCACCCAAATTTTGTCATAAGTCTACCACCCCAAAACAGTCCATGCAACTGTGCACACACACCTGCTCCAGGTGCTGCATCAACTGCAGCATCTACTGGTCCTACAAGAATAGAAAACAAAACAAAGACACAACAAAAATATAATTATATGTCTTCTTCCTAAAATAAGACAATGCATGTATGCACACAGAAGAAAAGTCGAAGGCACTGCCACTCTCACCAAAAATTCTAGTATGTCCTGAATAGTTAATGTGTAATATACATAACCTTTACACATTAAAATCTCCAACCATAAACCTTTGCGAAACTAATTTGAGCACCTGAAAAAAGCTTTCTCATGTGAGAAAAATGTAGGCTATATTTCTAAATTGGCAAAATGAAACCAGAGAAACTACAAATCCACAAATCCTAACTAAGTGTTTAAAATAAAAAAGAGAACATGATAAACAGGATTCAAAGGTCTGTTGCTACCAGGACGGAAATTTACCACAAAGTTCTCATTTAAGAAAAAACTATGTTACTTAAAAACTTAAATTTTTTTTGAACTCCTCTTAACCTAGATGTCAGCTTGCAGCTAGCAGCAAACCCAAATCCCCTATAACCTGCTCTCTACTAGCAGCAGATCGGTGTTCATATTTAATCTAACAATACACTTTTACCGCGTCTTCCATTAAAAGAACTCAACCTACTCTATATAAATGGCTAACCAATAAAATATTTGCCTGTAAGATACAAGTTCTTATAATTTTTTAAGTTTGTATATAAAAATATATGAATAATGGCCATAAAAGAGGAAAATCAGTCACACCGAGCATTTACAGGACATAACTAAAGGAGGAACACATGTGACACAGAGTCTGAAAGTACATACGCTGTTCAACAGGGCCAGCCTTTGCTTTCATGGCCTCCTTCTGCCTCCACAGCAGTTCTCGCTCTTCTTGAATCTGTTGCTGCTCTGCTTCCAGTTCTTGTAACCTGTGACCGGCACAGAGCAACTCTTGCTCAAGACGATCTATTATTTCAGTTTTTTCCTGAATTTGCCTTTCAAAAAGAGTTTTTTCATCTGCATAGCCATCAATGATACCTTTAAGATAAAATGAAGAGGAAATGAAATTGCTACTCATTTAAATTTACCCTAAAGTTCTCTTTTGCTTCTTGAGACAGGGTCTCCCTAAGTCAGCCTTCAATTTGTGATCCGCTTGTCTTAGCCTCCTGACTGTTTTGATTACAAATGCGTGCAGCTGGGATAAGTCTATCATCAGGTTTAAAAAATTTTTGATTTATTTATTTTTATTTTATGTGTATAAGTGTTTTGCCTACATGTATGTAAGTGTACCTATGTTGCACAATGACTGCAGAGGCCAGAAGAGGGCATTGGATCCCCTAGAACTGGAGTTATGGATGGCTGTGTGGGGGCACAGGGAACTAAACACTGGTCTTCTGCAAGAGCAGCCAGCTCTCTAGCCTCACTATTAGTTTTCTGTTTTAATTTTTTTTAATTGAATTTTTATGATTTTCATATCCTATCCATACCTCTCCCACTGCTCCTCCAATTTAATTTACATATATATGTATATATAAACATGGCCTATAAAGTCTCTGATTTGTGTCCCCAAACGTCCTTTAGTATGGGTCCATCCACTAGGCCACTAAGAGTCCCATCCCTGTAAGGTGCTGTCTTTCCCCCTCCCAGCAGCCATCAACTGTGAAAAGTTCCTTAGGTTGGGCTGTGATTTCTAAATAACATTAGGTTTTAATTTAAGCAATAAAAGCTATTCTGATAGAAAAACTTTGAATCACTCCATTCTATAAAGTCTTGAGTGAATCTCCTCCTGACAGTAGCAACTCTGAACTTTACTGTGGTATACATGCTGAAGTATTTTTTCTTGTTTACACTGTGTATAAACATGAAATTTCTCTAAACTGTCTAGTACACTGCTATACTAAAGTATTACAACATCATGTGGAACTCACTTTATTAAACAGACAGAAATAGGCACCTGGAAAGCTTAAAATAAATCAGATGCTTGTGAACTGAATCACATTTTAAATATACCAGAGAAGGCTGATATTTTAAGTAATTCTTGAAGGCCAACACCACAATAGCCTGAGAGAGTAGAAAAGGCCTGGGGCTTAAAAGCTTTAGCCTTATGCAGACTCTATACAATTCAGTAACATCTGTAGCTTCAGTTTTCTCATCTTTAAAGAATTATCTTAGGCTTACTACTACCTGTTTAAAAATTACCACCATCTATTTAAAATTTTTTAATATTTTCTATAATTCTATAAATTCTTTTAATAATTAAGTGGTATGTATTCCTAAATTTTTTTAATTGCTTAGAAAAATTCTGAAGACAAACGCTAACCATTTTTCAATAGTCACTTTAAATTAGAGTAATGGTTTGTGAACATGGCTGTACATCAACATCTCTATTTTGAGACTGAAACTTCTCCTGTCTCAGTTGCTAGTGGCAAAGCACTTACCCTCAGCCTTACTGAGCTCCACAGCCAGCTGCTCTCTGGCCCTGGACTCCTCATGAAGGCGTTCTCGCAGTTCTTCTTGGCACTTAAGTGACTCTGTTGCCTCTTGTTTCTGTCTAAATGACTCACGCATCAACTCTGTCTGGGTAACTTTTGCATGTTCAAGCTAAATAAGGAGGAAAGAGTACATGAAGGAAGATAAGTGTTGGGAATTTTAGTGTCATGTTTCATGTAGCAAACAAATACATCTTAAAGACATCGTATTAAATTATAGTCAAATACTGCAATGCTTGTTAAATAGCAGGTAAGATAAGCCACAATTAATACATACATTTGCTGTATACTATTTCCTGTAAGAGATATAGCATAGTTTTATTAAGCAAAAGAATATGCTCCTTTAAGAAACAAAACACAGGGGTTGGGGATTTAGCTCAGTGGTAGAGTGCTTGCCTAGCAAGTGCAAGGCCCTGGGTTCGGTCCTTAGCTCTGTAAAAAAGAAAAGAAAAGAAACAAAGCACTGGGGGCTGGAGAGATGGCTCAGTGGTTAAGAGCACTGACTGCGCTCTTGAAGAGGGCCTGGGTTCGATTCCCAGCACCCACATGGCAGCTACAAACCATCCTTAACTCCAGTTCCAGGGGAATCTGATACCCTCTTCCGGCCTCCGCAGCACTGCAATGACACGGGTATACTTACATACATGCAGGCAATACACTCATACACATAAAATAAAAATAATAAAATATATTTAAAAAGAGAAACAAAGCACTATAAATCAATGGTTATATTCTATCATCTAAAGGGAAGTACAAAGCTAATGAAGTCCAAGCTCTTACTGCATATTTACTAAAGAATTTTACCTATTTGGTCTATGACCAATTTTTAAAGTTTGTTAACTTCTCCAGTATCTACTGTACTTTATAGTAGACTAATAATACATGATTAATAACTAACATCAAACACAAAAAAATTTTACTAATAACCTATGTGCTTATTGAACTAAAAGCTTTGTAACGCTATTCAATATAACCACAGTGAGACAAAAAATAAAATTTTACTAATAACCTATGTGCTTATTGAACTAAAAGCTTTGTAATGCTATTCAATAAAATTTTGTGAAAACTCTAGAGACTACAAATATTCTGTTTATTTGAAAAATCCTGGGACTACAGAAACATTAAAAATCTGGTGTTGGGGGCTGGAGAGAGATGGCTCAGTGGTTAAGAGCACTGGTTGCTCTTGCAGAGGACAGAGTTTGGTTCCTAGAATCCACATGGCAGCTCACAACTGTAACAGTTCCAGGGATCTGACCTTCATGGGCATTGCAGGCACTTACATGCATGCACGCAAAAACACTCATACACATAAAATAAAAATAAAGTAAAAAAAAAATTAAAAAGAAATCTGGCCTCAGAGCTGGAGAGCACTTGTTCTTGAAAAGGATCTGGATTCAGTTCCCAGTACCAAATCTGGTGGCTCAGAACTGCATGTAAATTCAGTTCCAGGGGATTCAATGCTCTCTTCTGGCTATTGTGGGCACCTGCACACACATGGTGCACATATGTATACTCAGTCACACACACATATACACATTTATTAAAATAAATAAATATATTTTAAAAAATCTGGCTTCCTTTAAATGCTATTGGCACATACTGACTACATTCCTTTAAGATGGCAGAACATATTTAAGTCAAAGCTTTCAACTAGGAGACAAATGGAGCACTGTTACTGAATCTGTTGTATGAAATTACAGAAAGGCACTGCCCTTGCTTCAGCTAGCTAGGCTTCTAAACACTATTTATTACTTGTTTATTTGTTTTACTGAAACAACTTCATGGGGGAAAATTAAGTTTAAATGTTTCTAGTACTTAGTCTAAAAATTTTTAAAAAGAACTAATTATATCTATTAACAATAAGATCACAGCAATTCTCAAAACTTTGTAAATTTATATGTGAAGTATTTTGTGCATCTGAAAAATATGACTACATGTATTTTAAATTTAAAATTTAAGCAAATACAGTGGTTTTTAAATTAGGCATGTGTAAGGTATTATAAAATTATGTTAATAATTAAGGATATTTTATTCTTAAGCTAGACTTCTGTGCTTCACACCTGAGTAGTATTTACCACAAAAAGTAGATTGTGGTGTGCTAAAACTTCTTATGGTCACTCAAATTTCCAAAATATGCAACAAGCAATTATTCTTGCTTTAATAGGATGCTTTAAGACCTGACTTATCATTTCTATGAGAATATATATGACAGATTCATAATAGGAAAATGTTACCACAAAAGTATAAAACTTCATGAACATTTTTCCTTTCAATTGGTAAAAGAGGATTTATCCTTTAAATGTAAAATATACATTAATTTTTATCATAAACATGACCATAAAGTATAAACTCATTTGTGTACAACTTTCTTGAATTTACAATCCATATTTCAAAATGTATCAATTACTTCTGCATATGCACATGTAATTTCCTCTTGTAAGTTATAGCATTGTTGCCTAATAAATACATGAAATCTAAACACTGAGAGCCATAAGCAAGTGAATTTCTTTCCATATTTTAAATTTATTATAGAAAACTCAATAAAGAACTTACAACAAAGTCTTGCTTTACATGAGTAAATTAATAATAAGCCTTTGTTTCTATCTTCCATTTCACAAGATCTAAACTAGCCTGATAGTACCTTTCAATATTTATCACAAAAATGTAAGAGAAAGCAAAATAAGAAAGTTAAAGCAATCAAACAAACACAGTAAGCCTACCAAATAAATCAAACTTGTGATAGCACATTGGGATCCACAAGCTACTAGAATAAAAGATGCTCTTTAAATTATCTAAATAATTTACAGTTAAATCTCTCCAATCTAGTTAGGGTATGATTTACTTCTACTATGTGCAACAACACGTATTACATGAAAATTCAGAGCTTTTACTTTTTTAGCAAACTTTAAATATTAAACTATGAATAAAACACTAGTAAATATTCTTCTACTATAAAAGTTGGTGGAGAGTAAATAAACATATTCTGAAAACCATCTGGCATGTTAAATATTAACTAGTATGTATAGTTATAGCCATGAAGGTCATAAAAAATGCTGAATAGCTTGTAGCAAATGTTCACAAGCTATCTAAGAGTCATATAAACCTAAAATACTGAAAATGCAGGCATCTTTATACTAAATCTTACTCTTGGCAATGTTTATAAAACATATTTCACATTAAGAGCCAAAAAGTAATTTCTCTATAGGATTAGTAGGCTTAGCAAAACAGAAAATAAGTTCCTTAGTGTGTAAAAAAATCAGAATCCAAGCTTTCTTTTTACTTGTCTAGAACTACAGCCAACAGACCATAAGATTATAAACACTTCCTAATTGGCTCAACGATTCATTCAGCTGCTTTAGACAGCATAATGCCTATTCTTTTCAATGTAGTTCTTCCATTTTTATTTTGGGGTAGCACTATAAACATACTGATGTAAGAATCTTAAGGACAAGCTTTTTAAATAGTATATTTCTCCAGTGCCAGCCAAACTATCTTACAATATATTCTGGAGTGAAAACAGCTAAGTTGGAGCTTTAGGAGCAAATTTAGCCCTTTAATACACCTAGAATATATAAGTAGTAACATATCCAAAATAACAAAACAAGGTCCTGTTCATTTAACCTTCATAAGGACATTTAAATTTTCATCTTATTACAATTTACTAAATTACTAAATTACTTTGTATACTTACTGAATAAGGAGGGGTGGGCAGTGAAACTTTAGAAATAACCTTTAATATGTGCCCATTTCTTTTGTGAATAAAATGAAAAATAGAAGTATTGATAATTACTGAGTTATTTTCATCCAAATGTTCACACACAGGATAAGGATATGGCAAAGGCACTCGAGATTCAACTTCATAAATGTCTTCGTCTTGCTCCTCCAACCAAGAGCCACTTAGCTGGACAGTTGCCAAATAGGTCCTGTAAGAATCCATTCTAGACAGAGTTGTGAAGCTTCTTCATTTGTTCCATCAGTTTACCACCACTACATCACAAGTTCCTTTCAGTTTACCAAGATAACCTATACTACTATAAAAATTTCTTTTTAGCATTTCCAAGTAAAATTAATTCATAGAATTGAACAAAAAAAGGGGGTGAGAGTCCAGGTAAAACACCCCTTCAAATATCAAAAATCCATCAATTTAAAAAAAATTATTAAACAAAAATAAAAGCAAGCAAACAAAAAACCAGTTTTAACTAGACCCCTTGACAAATGGAAGAATTAAAATCTAAATATCTAATTAGCTGAGCAATAGAACTGCTCTCAGTATCAAATGTGTCTATGGTAATAAGTAAGCCTTCCAAATAGAACTTGGCAGGCAAAGTCAGGTTGTAAATCTCCATGGTAGCACTCTTGAGAAATGCAGCTGAGTTTCCCTTGCTCTTCAAGCCTCACACTATTCAAAAGGAAAAGCTCTTGAACTGAGCTATTCAAATAACCTCCATGCTGAGCCAAAGGATCCTAGGCAGTGTCCCCTGAAGAAAAGGTCAGAACAGAGGGTGTGGTTTAATGTCTATACCTATAGGTACACTGACAGGTGAAACGTGAATTAATACGCCCACAGAAAAGCCTGCCTAACAGGATCTAAGTTCCACGTCAGAGCTTTAAAAAGAGTACTTACACAAGTTTATAGTGTTTCTGAGATAAGCTGGTATTTTTCCATCCCACTAAAAAGTTGCTTTAATTTAAGAATGTGAAATAAAGTATGCTTGTGCCCACATTACTTACTAATGAGCTATTCAAGTAAATCAGATAGTCATAATCATTTCCGGAAAACTGAATTAGAACCTCTGATTGGTATTTCTGTAAAAATAATACATTACGAAGTCACTAACATTATAAATATTTCAGTTGTAACCTATTTTCCCAGTGTATAGAGTGTGGGTTAAGGAAAAAATTCTTTTAAAGCTGAATTATATATAATACTCGGGAATTATAGCACCCACAAGAGCCTGTGAACTCCAACTGAGATGTTTAAGCCCATCCAGGTTGTGTATAACAGCTAGTTTCTGGCAGTATCAGAAATCGAAGCAACAGTGAGGCAGCCACTCAGACCTTTAAAAAGATAACTTACTTTTTAATATTCTTGATAATTAAATTATCAATAAT